ACAGAATAGAATTTCAAATTCTCAAGGAATCCAAAATGTCTGGAGCCACATGGGCTAGATGAACCCTTGAAACTACTGCCCTCGGGTAATCTTAAAACCTTAAACCAAATACATCATTTGAAGTCCTCTTAAAATCAAAGTTTAATGTAACTGGTTTATAAAAGCATGTCTTGAGCATTATGTTGTTACTGTTATTGTGCAGTGCCTTCGAGTCGGTTCCAACTCACAGCGACCCTGTATAGGGTTTCCAAGGAGCAGCTGGTAAGCTTGAACCGCCAACCATGCAGTTCAAATGACTTTGCAATCTGCCGCATTAACCCACAGCACCACACCAGGACTCTCTTATTTATATGGGACCCCACTGACAGCAGCAACTTGAAAGGCTAGAAAGAAAGCTTAGTGGACAGTGAGTTTATGCTAAGGGGGGAGGACCAAGGAGTGTGAGAATGGTTGCACAAATGGAAGACTGGAATCAGTGTCACTAAACTGTACATGCAGAAATGGTTCAACTGGTGTATGTTCTGTATACATTCTCAAAAACAAAAATAAAAAGTAAACTGTTAAATAAAGAAAATAGTATTTTTTACAATCTAAAAATCTGAAAGTAATGAAATTGCCAAGCAATACAGAGGAAATAGATGAAGTATTCTCCTAGAGACTTAAAACTGAGGAAATATGGACTATATAGTAGATAGTATTATTTTTATAATAGTAAATTTTGGGGGGTGTTGATAGTATACAATTACTCTGGTAATTTTGGAAACGTCAAAGAAGACCCATGCTGAAGTATTTAAAGCTGGAGTCTGACACTTTGCTGACCAAGCACTATATCACTATACCACTGTGCCACTGAGGCTCCTTATTATTATTATTAAGTGTCATCAAGTCAGTTCCAACCCTGTTTCCAAGCAGTAGCTAGTGAGCTTGAACTGCCAACTTTGTGGTTCAAACCAACTTTGCAGTCCAGCACGTTAACCCACAGCACCACAGGAGAACTCCAACTAGTAGGGTAGGAGGTAGGATTCAGAAGTATTGGTAACACTCTACTTACAGGGAAAGTGATTCTATGTGTGTATTCATCTTCTGAAATTTCACCCTGCTGCATCCTTATGATTCATGTACTTTTCAACAGGAATGTTATAGTTCAATAAAAATAAAAAACAGGACCATATTACTTTTAAGCCCATTCAGTGAGCTATCCACCTGAGAGTTAAATCTGAAGTTTTTGTCAGGACTTAGAAAATCTTATGTAATTTGGCTCTCAAACTACCACACACTCTCCTACCATGCCTCTTGACCTCTTATTTTATTGTAGCTACAGTCATGGTGTGGCACTGCAGGATAAGCACTCAACCTCAAGGTCACTTTGAATTACAAGGTTGGCAGTTCAAACTCACTGGCCACTCTTCGGAAACCCTGTATAGGGTCATTATGAGTTGGAACTGACTCAATGGCACTTATCAACAACACACTGGCTTCAATGTCATTCCTCAACACTCCACACACAGTTTTTACATTTCTTATTTCCTCTCATTTGCTGCAAGTCTCTGCTCAAATGTTACCTTGGGGGAAAGATCTTTCCTGACCTCTTTATAAAATAACATGTTCCCTTGCTCTGTGTCATGACAACATAGCTCCTCATTCTTCAAGGGCAACACAGGTTGCTATGCAAGAATTTCCCTGGAAAAGCTTACCCCATTCACTCTATAGCCCTGATCTTATCCCTTTCAGACTTCTTTTTGTTCCCCAAACTTAACATTTAAAAGGAACATGATTTGAGTCCCTTGAAGATGCCAAAACTGCCGTGTTGACATGGTATAAGTCGAACAGTGCAGAATTCTTCAGGTTAGAGATATGGAAACACCACCTTCAGAAATGTCTAGACCTAGATGGAAGATATGTTGAAAAACAATAGGTTCACATGTTGATATTTTTGTTTAATGAAGGGTGCTATGATTTTGTAGTAATACTTCTTGATTAACCCTCAAATATTTATTGGATAAATATTTCAGACAAGACTCAGAATAAGGTGTGAGCTGTCATTTGTCTTTGTTTAGCAAAGTTCTTCTTCAGACAGTAAAAGCAAGATTACAACGCAAATGTGTAAAATATTTAAGAGAATAAATTCTTTTCAATTCTGGTGATGTTCATTTTGAAAATTCATCCACAAACTATTGACATACTCTACTAACCATACTGTTGTTGGTTTGTCAACAGTGTTCTCTGAGCAGCACTTTTTCAAAGACTCAATTTAAATAGGAATAGTTACAAATCCACATTAAAAAGACTCTGATTGAATAAAGCTTTTCAAACTGTAATACAGCTTTATAACTCCAATTTTAAGATATAACTAAACGAATCGGGCTGTGAACCGCAAGGTCAGCAGTTCGAAACTACCAGCGGTTCCGGGGGAGAAAGATGAGGCATTCTGCTCCCGTAAAGATTAACAGCCTCGGAAACCCTGTGCAGGGTCGCTATGAGTCGGAACCGACTCCACGGCACATAACAACAAGAACAACAACAAACTCAGATTTATAACTAAATAGGTTATCTAGTGCTGCTACAAATTTTTTTTTTAATTGCCACAAGTGGATGGCTTTCGCAAACAAAATTCTATTTCCTCACAGTTTAGGAAACTAGAAGTCTGAATTCAGGGTCCAGGCTCTAGGGAAGGTGTTCTCTCTCTGTGGGTTCCTGGGGAGTATCCTTGTCTCTTCAGCTTCTTTCCTCGGTTCCTTGGTGATATTCATGTGGCATGACATCTATCCTCCCCCAATTCCCTGCTTTTTTGCTGCTTGCCTAACCTGATCTTTTCAATCTGATTGAATTAAAATATACCTTACACTAATACTGCCTCATTAATAAAACAAAGAAAACTCTATTCCCAAATGAGATTATAACCACAGGTATAGGGATTAGAATTAATGACACTTATTTTGGGAGAACACAATTTAATCCATAACAATAATCAAAGTGATCAGTGGGGGGAAAAAAGACATAAACTGCTTACATTCACTTTGAAAGCTTGCACAGTGCTATCCAGAAGAAGGACATTGCAAACCACTTCTGTATGCTGTCTGTCTCTGGCCAGCTCTGATGCTCGGACATTGTAGGTTCTGCCAGCAGGCAATCGGAAACGTGAGGTCATTACTGTTCACACAAGATCTAAGTTTAAAAAAAAAAAAATGTTTTTAAAGGTTAATAAAAAGAAAGAAAATACAATGTGGGTGAAACACAAAATTACTGTATTTTTCAATTAAGAGGAACCATGAAAGGGATGGAGGAGGTTGTAAATTACTTACTGATACAAGTACTTAAACCACCATAGAACGACAATCAAACCAAAAACCAAACTTAGTACCTTCAAGTCAATTCTGACTCAACACTACAGAGTTTCAGAAACTTTACAAGAGCAGATAGCTTTATCTGTCTGAATCAGTAAATGAGTAAATGAATGCATAAATAGATGATGAGATGAATAAGTGAGTAAATGAATGTGTAAATGAAATGAATGAGTAAATTAATGCATAAATGAAATTAAAAGAACTGGTGAATAAGTAGATGACTTACTGAGTGAATGAGTGGATGAATAAACAAATATGACTGAATGGACTAACAGATGAATAAACAGATGACTAGCTGAATGAATGAATGAATGAACAGATGCATAATAGATAAATAGATGACTGAATAAGTATATGAATAATAGATTACTGAATGAATGAATTAAAGAACAGATGAATAAAGGGTGGATGAATGAATAGATGATTTTGTGAATGAATAAATATATAATGAATGAACTGATGAATAATAGATGACTGACAGAATGAATACATGAATAAATATGAATACAATACGTAATTAAGATGAATAATGTATGACTAAAATAAATAACAAATGAATTGATGAATAAAAAATGAATGAATGAATGAATGAGTAAATTAATGAACAAATAAGGACTGGATTAATCAATGAATAGATGCCTGAATGGGTGAATAAATTATGAATGAATCACTGAATAAATGACTGAATTAATGAAAAGATAAATAAATGAATGAATAATGAGATTAATAAATAAGGAGTGAAATAATTGATGAATAAATAAATAATGAACAAATAATGAATAGCTTAATGAATGGGTGAATAAACAATGACTAGATGAATGAATGAAAAGATAGTAAACAATGAATAGATGACTGAATGAATGAATGTTGGTGTTACTGTTAAGTGCTGTCAAGTCAGTTCCAACCCATAGTGAGTGACCCTGTATAGGGTTTTCTAGGAGCAGCTGGTGAGCTTGAACCATGACCTTGCAGTTCAAACGACTTTGTAGTCTGGCGCATTAACCCACAGCGCCACACCAGGGCTCGAATGACTGAATAGATAAATAAAAATAATGACTAGATGACTGGATAGCTGTATAAATAAATGAATGAACAGATGAATAATTAAAATAATTAAACAAAAAACAAATGAATAAAAAATTAAATAAGGAATGAATAGATGAATAAATAATGAATAAATAGATTAAATTACTAGATGAATAAATAAGATGACCAAACAAATAATAAATGAATGGATGAATTTATAAATGGATGAATAAATGAATGAGAAAATGCTTACATAAATGATGGATTAATGACTAAATGAACAGATCTACAAATGAGAAAGTGACTGAATGAATAAATGAATAATAAATGATTACTGAATGACCACATGGATAAATTATCATTAAAATAACAGAGCCAGGAGTGGACTGCATCCTTTGGATAGGAGACAGAGATCAGTGACACCAGAGACAGCAACTGATGGAGAGAAGCCGCAGGAGAGAAATAGCAGCTACACAAGCAGCAGAAGTAAGAGTTCAGCATAAAGCACAGCTGAGCAACTTCAGGCAGGAGATTTGCTGCTGAAATGGGGTGTCTCCAGGCACCTGGGAGAAGCTAAATCTGCTAATCCATGGAACTAGAACTGAGTGCCTTAGGGTTGAGGCTTACTTGCAGAGTGGAGTGCCTCTGGGCACTTAATTGGCAAACCTTAAGAAGCTTTGCAGCATTTGCCTGAGCAGGGCAGAGGCCAAAGGGGCACAGAGACAAAAGAGGCCAAGTGTCAGAGACAGGGAGACCAGCAGTTTAGAAGAGGTTTGCCTGATCAAAGAACTGTATCCTGATTTCTTTGTAATCTGTAAAATAAGCACAGGACTGGTAACCTCAGGTCATGGGTTCAAACCCACCAGCCATTTTGGAAACCCTATACAAGGTCACTGTGAGCCAGAAGCATCACTCGTCTGTTTGATGTTCTATAGTGACTTATGTACTGTTATGTTGAAAAGTATGCCACTGATATTTTAAATGTCAGCAGGATCACTCATGGTGGAGAGGTTTCAGAGGAGTGTCCAGATTAAGACAGACTAGAAAGAAGAGGCAGACCACTTCTGAATGGTTAGCCACTGAAAACCTTAAGAATAGCAGTGGAATATTGCCAGCTATAGTGAAGATCAGCCTCTCAGGTTGGAAGGCACTCAAATATGACTAAGAAAGAGCTGCCTCCTCAAAGCACAGTTGATCTTAATTTTGTGACTGCAGTTAAGCTTTCAGGACCTTCATTTGCTAATGTATTGGTACACCTCAAAATGAGAGGAAACCGCTGCAAACATCCATTAATAATCAGAATGTGCAGTGTACAAAGTAGGAATCTAAGAAAATTGGAAGTTTTCAATAATGAAATGGAACTCATAAAGATCAGTATACTAAATGTAAAGGTAGATGTTTTATAGCAAAGAGGAGAGTGATTAACTGTTCAGTCTAGGAGCA